ACCCAGGAAAATAAAATGAAATTTTAAAAACTTTCAAGCTAGCTTCAGGATTTCTCTGGAAGTGTGGGGATGAATCAAGCATCTGTTTCCTGTCCCACTTTGTCATTTACAACCTCTGCAAACATGCTTCCCTCAGACAGCATCACCTTTCCCAAGTTGAAGTGAGATTGTGGCTCTATATATTGCCTTTTAATGCCTTTATCTGTTTTACTTTCCCAAATCCTTGCAGCCTGCCCTCCACCCAGTTTGAGTGAACTGCTAAAACGAATTTTCACCCTGTGATGAGGTGACAGCTGATGAACAGTGGGTGTGTATAATTGATTTCTTTTTAAGCCAATGACTCTTTTATGTCTGAGGAGAGAGAAATGCTCCTCTCAATTGGAGACACAATGCATTTTTGGAGTGAGTTAAAACAACCTCCTCCATGACTGACATGACATTACTCTGACTATTTCCTCTATGATTATATGATCTCTGCCATATCTGGGATGGAAAATCCACGTGCCATGCCAGTTATACAGTACATTCTAGTAAGGGGTCATTTCACAGGGCAGCATTAAATTAGTTTCCAAGACTATGACAAACTACAAAGTGGCCGGTTTTGCTGGCTGGCTGGAGACACTAATGAAATCGAGAAAATGCAGTTGTCATTTGCAGTGGGACTTGATTCTTGTCAGTAAAGACCTCTTCTGAGAATCACAGGTTTGGCAGAGAAAATGTGACAGTGAGAGGAATGCAACTGGAAAATCATTCATAAGCTTTTCCCAGTCTATTACTGTATCTCACTTAATGGAACTAAAGTGCTCTTGAAAGCACAGTCTTTTGTACCATATCAGTTGACCTCATCCCTTGCAAATGGAGGTATTAATTTTGCTTAGAAAACTATTCCTTAAAACAGTGAAGCAGGAAACATTGCTTATATAATTTACAGTTTAATGAGACCTTGATATGTGAACAAGCTGGCCAAAGTCAAACCCAGCTACCTCCAGGTTTAAGTGGCTTGGCTGGAGAGGGCATTTCAGGGCAGACCTAAATACCAACTTTGGTATGCCAGGGCCAGAGAACAGCCATTATTGGCTTTGGGCTTCTTAGTCTGGGTCTAAACACCAGATAGGAGCTCCCAGCCTCCTGCCCTGTCCTGCTTGAATTCCCACCCACCTCTTTGCTTCAGTCTTCATCAAAGGGAGGCTGGGTGCCTTATTTAGGCTGGCCTGAAAACAGCCACCTGTGAGTCCCTGAGACAAGCAAAGATGAGGATTAGCCTGAAGGAAACACCAGTAAATCTCCTCTGAAAACTGCAAGGAACACAGGCTGATTGCCTTCACTACCTCTGCATAAAAACACACATTTGGAAAGGAACCAACCATTGTGGCAGCAACAGTGCCTCACCCTTTGGTAAACCCAAGCAACCAAGGATCTCACCTCTAGAGTGTACCTGTACTGCCTTTATTCCTAGCTAACAGGTGAGGATTCTAAAATACTTTGTATAAGGTAATTTTGTGGAATAACAGGACAGAAAACACTTTCCTTTTTCACGCTACACAGCTTTGCAAAGTTGTTTTGTCTCCTTTTTTTATCAAGCCTATGAATTCTCAGCTCCTGGAGAAATGTCAATTTATATAGTTTCATTGAAAAAAACTCTTAACAATCGAGCAGTGAATATTCCCTGTAGAGAACATCATCAGTTTGTCTATTTATGGAAGCAGACTTCAGGAATTTTGTAAAAATACAGATATTTTGAAGATAAGACAAAATGATCAACCTTACCCAAAGTCAGCTGAATAATTTTCAAAGACTGAGCCTAAGATAACAGGGGTGGATTGGAAGGGATTTAGATTTGGTATCCTACTAACAAATCCATCAGTGTTCCTCTATTGCCTCTGAAAACCTTTAAATTAGATTAATAGAGTTGATCTGTTTTATGTCTAACCCAGTCTTCAACTCGCTCTCCCTCTGACAAAGCCATTAACTTGGATAAGCCTTACAGTTCATGTAATCCTGATTTTTCCTACATCTGTCTTGCAGGTTCACATATTTGACCTGTATCTGCACTAATTGGTTGAAATATCTGTAAAGTCTATCTCCTTTTATAAGGTTAGAAAGCGCAGTGGATTTAGGGATTTGCATACATATTAAAATAACTCAAGTTGTTAAAAAAGTCTCTCCCTGCACAAGGTCTATTATATTCTAGGAAGGAGATATTTCATTCTGGTCCTGCAAACAAAATGTATTTATTCATTGCAAAAAGAATAGCATTTGCTCTTTGAAACTCATTCAAAGAATAAAATTGATTCCGTTCCTTCTAAAAACAAAGGACTGTGTTGGAAACACACTGTTCTAATAAAAAATATGATTAATTTTGCTTACTACTTGATCAGTTATAATCAGCTGATTCATCATTTCTAATGTGACAGCATATTTTGCTACTTTAAAAGAAGGGAGAGGCCAAATAGCTGATCCTACAATCTGCTGCCTCCAACAACTGCAATGCTGACAAGACGTGAGCAGAGTACTTACCTTATTTTCCACATTGCTTAATCTCTGTTATACAACCTGAGTTTTATGGTTTGGGATTACTTGGCAAGTGTTATATCTAAAAATGGAAGCATTGTAAAACTGGCTGCAGTTGCTGAACTTCACCAAACTCAGTAATTCCCATAAGATTCCTGCATCACCCATGATTTCCCTGTGGAGCTAAATTTGAGCTTTGATTTTAGTGGCTGAATATCAAGAGTGCAGATGCAGGTGGTTTCGTGTGGTGTCATCTGGAGCAGGCAGTGCTGGGGAATGCAATGCAGAGTCTCTCACACACTCTTGGATCCATGCTTCCCTCATCCAGACTTTTTTTCCTGAAGCAGATTGCCTTTCTCCAACCACCCTCTCCAATCTACTAAGCTCTGTCCATAGTTATTAGCTCAAGTACAGCTTGAGTGCAGGAAGATCTATTGCCTCCAATATTTGAATTCCTTCCAATTCTCTTTTCCTGAGTGGAGATTTATTGCTTCCAACTGGCCCATCTGTGTGAGCCTGTGTTGTGTGCACGGACCTGGCCTGGCCACGCTGGGCTCATGGGGAGAGGAACCAAATCTCACCTTTGTGAGCAGCCAGGGGTGGCCCTGGGACTGTTTCAAGGTATGCAGAGCACAAGAAATGTGTAGATATACACAAATCACTACTCCTGTTTCAATCAGCTTTATAAATTAAACTTCTAGTATGGATCTCTTTCTGATCAGTCCTAATACCAACACCATGAAGTACATGGAAAGTAAATTCTCACAAAGCACACAGTGGTATCTACTTCAGCAGAAATAAATGGCTATAAAATGCAGCTTTCATACAGAAAAGGAAACCAACATACAATTTCAAGATTGGTTCAGCATCAGTATCATGAAACTTCTGTTCAAATCCTCAGCTTTCTATCAACAATCTTTGATTATATTTACCTTGAAGAATTTTATTCTTCACCAATTTGAATTGCATAAATTAAATGTTTTGTGTTGGGGTCCAAAGGGATCAATCACTCATCAATTAAGGATTTTAATCAGCCTGCATTCTTAAATTTGACTTTCTCACTGTCAAAATTAAATATTGCTACTATTTTAAGACCAAGCAGTAGTATAATATCTTCATGTATTAATCTCTGTATTACAGAAGAAGCAACAAAAATATTTTGTAGTTCTAATAATGCAAAAAAAAAACAACTCAGTGACTTGTGTCCTTTTTAGTTTGTCCCCTATGAAAATGTGTATATTATTTCAGTTAACTACAGTATGACAGAAATGGTATGAAATAAATCTGTGAAGGAAAAACTGGCAAAATCTCTGCTCTAGTTTATTTTGTACACAAAGGAAAAAGAGATTCCTTTGTCACATATGCATTAGAAGTAAAATTTCTATTGTGCTGACATCAATGTCAAGTTCTGAACAGTTTCAGCTGAGCAAGGATTAAATTTCAGAAGTTTGTTTTATGCCAGATAACAACTTCTCCATCTAAATCACATGTTCTATAAAGCACTGTGATGGTCTCTGGGTTTTGTCAAAGGAACTGTTCAGCTCTCTGGCTGGATCAAAGCTATCCTTGCCACCGTCATAATAATTAATAAGGTATTAGTAATTCTTAATTAGGCACTATTCCTAAAATCCTTGTTTTATTTGAACTTGCCATAATACTGACTCAGAGACTTTTACATTAATGTTTGGCAAAACTTTTTTGTGCCTCAGAAAGTGACATAAAAAATTAATTCTAAATGAGAAGAGATTTTCTTATAATAGATCATTTTCTGATGATGTACATAAGGTTTTTGAGACATATAAGGAAAGTACCTAAAATATGGATCTTTGCTTCCCTGGGTAATCATTGCTTAGAATGTGCTTCTGCAGAGATGTTCTGATTCATTCCTTGGGGAATGTTGACTGTATAGGGAGATTTCCTCTAAAATACACTACAGAACAGTAGAGGTTTTAAACTTGACTGTGAAAATATCATAGTGTGGACAGCATGCCTTCAAATGCCATGAACAGCAGTCATGGGATTGTCAGTTTTGTCTAATATTTAATGGTAATTCACTTTATTCTGTCAGATTACATTTGTCTGTTAGTTTATGTCTGTAAGGGGCTCCAAGGAAAGTGTGCTGTGATGGTACAGACAAATGGGGAAGACTTAAAAAAGCTCTTTTTAACAAGCCTTATGCTCAGACATGTTTTGGTTTTTTAAAGTATGTTGATATATAAACAATATAAAAGTACATGTCAGCCTTTAACCCCTATTTCACTCCCAGGCCTAGGCCAGCTTTGGTACTATTTCTTTTTCTTACCCCTTTTTAGATCATTCAGTACACAATCTACTGTGTGACAATCATATAAAACTGTGTCAGACTCAGCCAGTGACTTTAATTGTGTCACAAATGTAATGTGACATGAGCAATGCACCCTGGTGTTCCAAGGAATAACACAATGTGTCACAGTGGCAATGTGTAAATTAAGCTTCTCCAAGTGCCATTGTTATGGAAACTGTGGCCTTCAAATGAAGCTATTGCACAGGAGTGCAGGAATCTGAGCCCAGGAGCAGCTCTGGCCTGTGCTGAATTCTTTTCTGTCATCTGTAAATAATGTATCCTAGATAGACTTCAAAAGATTTTAATTAAATGGTTATTCTAAAGGTGTTTATATGTATCAAAAATCTACAAGACTGCAGATATGTTTTTTTCTAACCAAGGTACAGTTCATCTGCCAGAGAGGGGATTCTTTTTCTTTCACCCCACAGCTGTAAATATTCCTGTTCATATAGGTATTTTGACTACTTTGTGTATGCCACTTATTCTACTTCAAATTCAAATTTCTATGAATCATGTTCCCGAATATTTCATAAACTTGAATAGATATTAATTTAACATTTTGGAAGGAACAGTAATTGGATGTCTCTTGCACTATAGTATGGAACATTTAAATTGCACCCATCTCTGTATTTTGCAGTTTAATGCTTCAGTCTATGTGATAGTTACAGACTGACTCCAGTCAAGAGACCCTTTTGTTTTGTTCATTAAAAAGAGATTTTGATATGTGCTTGGTGTGCTTGATTAGCAAAGCCAACAAACTTCTACTGTCTATAGTAGCCAATAAAATTATATTCAGTGGACTGTGATCTTTGCATGAGACAGTCATTTAGGACTGGGTAGCACTGTACTGGTAGAGCTTGGTTAAATGTTATTACAATTCAGGTTCATTAATTTTTCTAATTAATCTGATTGATTAGAAGTAGTTGTGAAGCCCAATTGGAAAATCAGAACAACAAAGTCATTGAAAAACCAGCTGACTATGGAAAAAGATCTGGAAACGTGCTACTCTAAAAGATGAGACCAAAAAAAAAGAGCCAGAAAAAGAGTCCTGCCACAGTCACAAACCTGGAATGGTTAGAATGTTTATTCCCCACTGCCTGGAGCTAAACCATCCCTAATGGTGTTAGTTCCAGCTCGGAAATAAGTAATTAGGTAAAGTCTTTTCTGGTCTGGCTTCCCATTCCTTTGCTTTTGAAAGCCAAGGATATGTTTGGCATTTTATAAGTGGGAGTGGAAGTGACCATTCAGTACAGAATTCTGAGAGGAGCCTGAGTCAGCACTCGTGGTCCAAACCAGTGGGGATATTTTAGGGTTACCAGCGAGCTCCACCAGCTCAAACAGCTTCAAAAACCTTTCCTAGCCAGGGCTATGCCAGTGATAATGGTGCTAAAGGCTCAGCACCACACTTAGGCCTGACTTTGTATCATTACAGGCTAGGCCTGAGCACTGAGTGAGCTCCCATCTGGAATCCAGTTTGACACAGAATGGCAAGTGGACATAATTGAGAGCTCCTCTTTAAGAACACTCCTATTCCAAGCTGAAGTATCAGGGCAGAATTTTCCATTTATCTCCTTTCAGGTCAGTCTGGCTAATAACCATTCCGTTCTCCAGGTCATTATGCCGTGATCAATATATTGATATTTTCTGTTAACTACTGCCATAGATGGCTTTTGCATGTCTTCATTGCTGAAGTGGGGCTTAGTCACTGTTTGTGTATTGGAACTTCCATCCAAGTCAAGCATTTCAGGTGTTTGGGGTTTTATTTTTTAATCATATTCAATTAATGGGCTTCTTTTTTACTTTTGCCACAAGCCCATTTGCACTTTACTGTGTTGAAAATATTCATAACTACAACTTATATATTAAGAAATATTATATATTATATTTATATATAAATATATATAATATGTATATTTACCTATATTTTAAATATTATAATATATACAATATTAGAATATTTATATATGAAATATTATGTATGGTATTGTATTGTTCTGACAAAGTGCCCACAAGCTCCATAGGAGCCAGCACTGAGGGCTTGATTTCTGAGTTCTGTGTTTGTATATTCTGGACAGGATGGACAAGTCACAAGCTCTGGATCTGTGTGCAGGCTACTCTGGGCTTCAGAGTGAGTGTCTGAGCCCTCTGAAGAGAGAAATATATCAAAAGTGTATCTGTGTCCCACCAGCACAATTAAACTCTCCAGAATGTGTTGAGGTGGTGATTATTGAGCTTCGCAGACGTGTTGAAAGAACTCAAAATTGCCCCTTTACACCAGAGGTTTTCATTTAATTAATACTATCAGATAGGCTGCAGTGTCCTATTTCAGAGTAATCAGATTTCAATTATACTGCAGTCAAGGCCCCACAAGACCACATAACTTCCCTGTTTCTGCAGATTACACTCAGTTATGATGATATTTTGAATATTTTAATTTGTCTTTTTTGTGTGGTTTTATGTCAGAGATGCAAGTTAGATATATTTTTCCAACAAGCTGACTTTTTGCAATAATTATTCAGATTCAGGCAGATATGAAATATTCTAAAAGGCTTCTATAACCTTCATTTCAGCAATTAACACTCACTTTTAATGTTAGTCTTGTCTGCCAAGCAAATCACCCAGCTTGGCCTTCTTTGTGCCAGGATACATTTTTTCAGCAAAACGAAGATGTTGATGCTTCCATGTTCCACAACAAGAAGACAGAGAAACTGGGGAGAGTACCTGATAACAATGAATTAAAGATATTAACCACTAATATGTTGTAGAAGATATTAATTATGTGTCTGGGTTTCCTCAGCATGATTTGTTTTGGTATAACAAAAAGAGAACAAAAATCAATGGACAATTAATGTGATTTTATGAGAGAAAAACAAAAAAATTAATTTCTCTGTACCTGATCTATTCAATTGGTGGCACATACAAACATCAGTTAGTGTCCACCACTTTTCTCTGATGGGACTTTGAAACTGAGTAGTGAACCATCTGAAATCCCTGAAAGGTATTCTGTGGTCTTCCAAAAACTTGGAATCAGGTTCTTATCCAGACATTTGATTTTCTTCTTTTCTCTATCCAAAGTTTCAGAGCTTCACATTGAAAATGGTTTATGTAATAAGATCAGCAGGGCTATTAATACCCTAAATACAATGTACGTAATTAATGTATAATGCACTAGCGTTAATCTTTCTTTGTTGTGGGTAAAGAACAAGACTCATATTTGGGGGAACTCATCATTAGCTTATGATATCATAGTAATGTCACAGGAGCAAGAATAAAAGATTAAATTAATTTGATGTTCTTCACTGGTCTCGGGCTCTGTGAAGTGATTTGAATGGCTTGCATTGTAACAACTCCTGTAAACACAGAAGGCAAAGATTAATTAGAAAACATTAAAAGCTCTTGGCAAATAAGAATTTTAGTAACACAGATGCTGCATACAAATAATCCTCATATAATATAATTCTATTGTTTCATAATTCAGGCATAAGTAGGGAATGCAGTTCCATTGTAATGCTCTAGTGTGAGATGTGACAGCTAAGATTGCTTCAATGACCCTCATTCAAGAGGGTGTGAATATTCAGAAAGTGATCCTTATGCAAGTTTTTTATTACTAGATCTACCTGATATACTCCCTTATTTCATACATATTGTATCTCTCTTTACTTAGTTTTTTAAAATCAATTTCTCCCTATCTCACTTGTTTTGCTGACAATTGTTGAGTATAGAATACAGTGATACGAGCATAGAGTAAATTTAATGCCAAAGTGTAACAACTGTACACACTGTAAGGTGGTAAACAGTCCAGTCAAAAGCCCAAAAAATTAAAGAAAAAAAGGAGGAAGGACATTCTTTCAGATGCCATATAGAAGAGAAACGGGTCTCAGTAACAAAGGATCTAGGTTGGCCTTCATACATTTGAAGATCACATTTCACCCTCTTGAGCTCACATACAAGGGGTTTTTCTGTTTAGCTGTGAATCTTCCAGGCTGAGGAAGACACAAGAGAAATAAATAACTGCAGAAACATTTGGAAGTTTGTAGTTGCTGCAGGAGTACAGCACAGTAGTGCAGAGCAGAAGGGCACTGACAGCCATGAATTTGACTGCTCACCCAGGCAGAATTCTTGCTTGAGAAATCCCTCTGGCCCTCACCCCTCTAACTCCATCAGTGGAAATCAGACCTCAAGTTGCTGCATGAAGATGAAAATCTCAGACTATGCCATAATGGCAGCTGAAATTCACCAGGAGAAGAGAAAGCACAACAGTTGGAATGGCAAAGCTATGACCAAATCCATCCCGCCAGGATCAGGCAGACAATTTATGAATAATTTATTCACAGAATGTCAGTGGGTTTTGGATTCAGAAATAATGTCTGAATAAACTCCATAACCTGTTTAAGATTAAGCTCTGTATATTTTTTCAAACATTGTTCTGATTACCTGCTCATTCATGAGAATGTTTTTGTGACTTCAGGTACTGAAGTTTGCCATCATCTTAAGAAATATGGCTAACATAGTTTCTGTTACATTAAGCAATTAGAAAATATTATTCTGGTTTTCTTTAAGTAACCGTGATTATACATTATTATTAACCAGCGTAATTATCTACTAATAAGTAATGTCTACCTACTAATCTACAAAATAACCTACTAATCTACCTACAAAGACCTGCCAAGACCTACTAGTAAATATTAATCACACTCCCAAGGCACTGGAGGACAAACATCTTAGGCTATGTGCTTCACAGGGCACATTACTGGCACTACTGAGATATTAAAGTAAATGTGAAAGCATATTTCAGCTAAATTGTGGCTGCAGACTGGCCATCCACATTCCATCCTGAATTTGGAACCTCCTTCTCTTGGAAGGAGCAGCAGACTTGGTCCAGTCATCTGCCCTGTGACTGCATCAACACGAGTGCAAGGGCTGTGCTTCTTTTACCCATTTTGTCTGACCCAGAGATAATTTCATCATGACTGCTGTGCTGTAAGAGAGAGAACATCAGCAGCCATCTGGGTTACACCAGGTTTCACATGCCTGCAATCCCATCTCCCTGGGAACTGCCTGCCTTTCTTCTCCACTCCAGTATCGTCCCAGCGCCATCAAGACCAATATCGTGCCCTGGTGCTTTCCTTTATTACCACACCCTGGTATCACCCTGGAATCCACTGTGCTCTCCAGCCCAGTATCTTCAGCATCTTTCTGGTCTCCAAAGCCCTCAGCAATTATTGCTTCAGGCGAGAGGGCCCAGTGACATCTGCATCCTCCCTGCCCATCTTACTGCATCTCTTCCAAACAAGGTAATTTTAGTTAAAGTCAAGGTCATCTCCACACAGATCCCATCCCTGGGATTTTGCAGACACTGCAGGAGTGTGCTAGGCTAAATATTTACATCACAAGTTCCCAGTGACTATCCCAGAACCACTCCCTCAACCCAGTATCACTCCAGCTCTCAGATGATCCCATGGCACCATAGAGTCATCTCCTCCCACCTCTCACTCTGAAGGGCTACATGAAAAAAGGCAAGAATTACCTCATGCTAATAGAGAAAGTGTGATTAATATTTTCTCTATACTTAATCTAGTCAGCTCACTCACTAGGTGCCATAATTAATGAGTGATTAATAAACAGATGTGTATTCCTAGATGGTTCTTTGTTCTGAGGGACATCCTCAGGTATGCAAATACCTTGCTCGTGGCTGCCTACCTATCACCTTACCCATGCAGCAGGAAACAGAATTTTCTCAAGCCTTGCTACAAAGAATTGGGAAACACCTGCTGTTAGTATTTCTAGGCACACACTTGGCAATTGTACCTCTCCTAGTCCCATTTTAAACAATCTGAAGGCTGAATACCTCTTGCCTCCTTGGCTCTGAGCTGGGAACAAAGTGGGGTAGCTTGAGTCTGGGTGGCTGCTGGGGAGCTGGAGTGGCTCTTCTGTGCTCAATCCACCTCAGCATATCCTCAATCCTCTCACCTGAGTGAGAGGAAACATAAAGCATGTGTTGCACAGAAAAAGATGAGGTTTGGATGAAACCCTCACCTGAGTGTCTCTGCTTCCCCTCAAGAGTCTGATTCGCTTTTGTCAAAACTAAATCTGTCATTAAGATACTTTTACAGTTAAAACAGCAAAACAGCAGATATGGTGGAGAGAAATGGTTTTAACATAAAGGTCTGTCCTATAGGATTCATCCAACTTTCTTTGTGGAATACTGTTCACAGTAAAGAACTGAAACTTTATGACAAATGTCAGGAAATACAGGATATATATTCCCCCACTGATGTCGTCCACATAATTTTTCCTCTTTTTTCTTTTAGCAGCCATGCTCTCTTCACCTTAAAAAGAAGCTCTTGAAATTAAATGCCTCTATGGAAAGCCCACATCTGGGTCACAGTTTAAAGGCTGTCGTCTCTGTGCTGTTAAGATGATTCCTGTCAAGCACAGGAATGAGGAGACACATGTGCAAGCAACTGGGCACATTCAGGCAAGATATACTTGTCAGCCACTGAGTCTGCAGTGATTTATCTGGATTTAGGGTTCACTCCTGCTTTCCGTGCAGATTTCAAAGGAAATTGCAAACATACATATTCATCATTCTCTTTTAATGGAGGTACATAATCAGGAACTAAATAAGAAATGACCTTTATTCAAAATTGCAAAACAAATGGAATAGACTGATAAATACATTGGGATATTTTTATAAATTATGTTCCATGAACTTTGCACTCTGCCTGATAAAACTGTGGGGGGTTTATTTTGTTATCCCTTGGAGGCACATTTTTGATCCCAAACACACTTGCTTTAGAGTAAAATATACCAATATTTAGCTCTCTTTCATTTTCTATTCAGACAGATAAAAATGTAACTGTGTGACTGTATTAGCTGTAGGTTGTCCCTAGGGGTACGACAGTCATGTTTGAAGTTTCTTTGTTTGAGTAAGGAGTATATGTTTCAAGCCCCTCTGAATGTTCTTCATGCTGTAGTTGATCAGGTTCAAAGGGCAAAAAGAGAATGGCATTTTATCCTTCACTGCTGAGCACTCCTTGAAGTACTGCAGTCTTCATTTATGGCAGTCACCATCTGTCTGACCTACTCATGTGGCCTGGTTAACTGTAGGATCCAAACATCTCACATTTCAGATTTATTCATCCTCACAACACCTGATAGAGCATAATTTTCCTGTTCTTATAGTGGAGGAAGTGAAATATTTGGGGGAAAAAGTTGTAAATAGCCAAGTAACTTGTAATGTTAGACTGGAAACTATACCACTGTTGTTCAGATCAAAGGAAATATTTAAGTGCCCAACTGGCTTTGTTTTTAATTGAAAGTTAGATACTGAATTAGGCTAAGATCAGTTTACAGCAATATTCATTTTGCATTCATGGATACGACTTGCAGGAATAATTTTTTTCTTAATGAAACTCCACATAATGAAGCATGAGAAATATATATAATTATGAATCGTGGTTTTATGTGTTTAAAATGGAGGATGGATGGAGGAGACAGACAAGGGCTAATAGAGTAGGCTAACTGAGGCCCACCAAAGAGAGGCATGTCTGTGTCCTGTGTCTTCTTCCTCTGTGCTGGACAGGGAAAGGATGGCTTTACAGACAGGGTCAAGAAATGAAAACAGCAGACATATCACTTACATTTGTAAATGTCTGCTCTGCCTGTCCCTGCATCAGAGCAGCTCAAACACTCCCTTTAGCTTACACTTCATGCTTCAATGTCCTTCTCCTTC